TGCTGTTACTCAGGCAACCCTGTTTGGGCGGAGTTGCCCTGCCCCCCTGTGGCGGGGGATGGGATCAGCGGGAATCAGTTTTGGGGGCTTTTGTTGTCTGGCGGCTTTCCTTGGTGGCTTTCCGCATCTCTTCCGCAAGTCAGAGCAGAAGAGAACGTTTCCAACCCTCTGCCTCAGAGCAGAGAGATCACAGTCTGTTCTTCAATGAGCTCTCCAGGCCACACTGTCTCCGTTTCTGTCCGTGCTGCTATAAACTGCAGCGGCCTGGTTGTGTGCCCCTCCGCAGCGCTCCCAGTCCTGCCTCCAGGTCGGGGCACGTGTCTGCCCTTTGTGCTTCTAAAACCGCCAGCCTCCCCAGTTCGCCCGCGCGACCCCGCTGCTCTGGGTTTCTGCCCCCGGGGCTGCCCTAAAGTCATTTCCCGGCCGCTATCGGTCTGCGACTCTGTGCCCCGTCCCCAGCGAGCGAGGCTGTGGCTCACCAGCGCTGTAGGATCCCGATGGCCAGGCACCCTCCCGCTGCCGTTTATCCTCCGATATCTGCTGGAGGAATCACGTCTCCCTGCTTTGTACCTCAAAACCAACCGCCTGTGATATTGTTTGTAGAGATCCAGATCTTCTTACATCTCAGGCTGGTTTCGTGGGTGCTCAGAGTGGTCTGGTAGATATCCAGCTCAATTCCAGGAACCAGTTGAAATAGTGTCCTCTACTCCACCATCTTTTTTCTCCCCTTTTATTATGTTATGTTGGTCACCATAGAGTACATCATTAGTTTTTTTTTGTTTTTACACATTTTTCATTATGTTATGTTAATCACCATACATTACATCATTAGTTTTTGATGTAGTGTTCCATGATTCATTGTTTGCGTATAACACCCAGTGCTCCATGCAGTCCATGCCCTCTTTAATACCCATCACCAGTCTAACCCATCCCCCCATCCCCTCCCCTCTAGAACCCTCAGTTTGTTTTTCAGAGTCCGTAGTCTCTCAAGGTTCATCTCCCCCTCTGATTTCCCCCTGTTCATTTTTCCCTTCCTACTATCTTCTTCTTCTTTATTTTAACATATAATGTATTATTTGTTTCAGAGGTTCAAGTCTGTGATTCAACAGTCTTACACAATTCACAGCGCTCACCATTAACACATACCCTCCCCAATGTCTATCACCCAGCCACCCCATCCCTCCCACCCCCCACCACTCCAGCAACCCTCATTTTGTTTCCTGAGATTAAGAATTCCTCATATCAGTGAGAGGACTTCCAAGGGAGATGGCAGAGTAGGAGGACCCTAAACTCACCTCGTCCCACGAATACAGCTAGATAATACCCACATCAGTGTAAATAACCCAGAAAATAACCCAAAGATTGGCAGAACAGATTCTCTACAGCCAAATGTAGAGAAGAGGCCACATGGAAGAGGGTAAGAAGGGAGGAGATGTGGTCCAGAGTGAAACGGACCCATGTGACTGTCCCTGGGATGGAGGGACACCAGGGACCCTGGAGGGACGCCAGAGACCCTGAGAGAGGAAAGAAACAGACCCTCACACTGGGCACCCCAGGCACACAGAACCTGCACAGGGAAGACAAATCCCCATAACATTTGGCTCTGAAAACCAGAGGGGCATAATTTCATAAGTTCTTACTATCAGTAGGGCATAATACCTGGAATTGTAAAAATCAGCTGGTTTCGCTCTAGGGGAGCTGGGAGGGTGAGGGAAGACTTACTCCCCACCCTTAAAGAGACAACACAACAAACAGCCCCATGGAGATATAGCATAGAAGCAGCATTTTGTAAAATGCCTGGAGTATATGGGAGGGACATTTGTTCACTAATCTCAGAGTGTGGCCTGGAGAGGCAGGGATTATTGGGAGACTTCTCCAAGAACAAAAGAGCTGGCAGGTGCCATTTCCCTCCGCCACCCCTCAGCCTAGGCCCAGGGACACGTGCACAAACTAGTGCAGTGCCAACACGACCTAACTTGCTAACAGCATGCCCCGCCCCCATGTTCTGCCAACTGCCCCCTCCAGCCAAGCCTTGAGTTCAGATCCTCTCCCACAGCTGACCTACCCAAACTTTGTTAACACTGCACCCTTCCTCCACATTCAGCAGACCTACCCCCTCTACAAGGCCCTTGGCAAGAGCCCACCCAAAGCAGTGCCACAAGCCTGACAGTGTGCAAGCAGCCCCAACAAGGATCAACACAACCTCAAAGTGACTCCTACCCCAGGGAGAGGGGAAGATAACCACACACACCAGTCTGACTGCAGCCCCAAGCAGTGGGCTGGGGGCAGACTTCTGGTCTGACTACAGGTCCTGCCCACAAACAAAAGCTTCTCAGGGGACAACACAGGGAAAGTGCCCTACAGTTCAGGGCTGCTGCATCTCTAGAAAATGCCTGGTCTGTCTCAACTCAAGCCCAGGACAGCCCCAGACTGACCAACTTAACAACACAGGGACCAAACTCTGTCCACAGGCAAACTCTGCCACAGGCAAAGAGAGCCACTGCTGACGACTGGACTGAAGGCAAATGCAACTCAGCTACAATAGTAGGGTGAAGGCAACAAACATAAGAGACACCCTTGAAACACGACCTCTTCTTCATAAGGCCACCACTTTCAAGAGCAAGAAAAGTAGCTGATTTTCTTAACACACAGAATGAGACACAGAGAATTAGACAAAATGAGGAGACAGAAGAATATGTCCTAAACAAAAAAGCAGGACAAAATCTCAGCAAGAAAGCTAAATAACAGAGATAAATCATACGTCTGATAAAGAATTAAAGTAATGGCCATAAAGATATTCATGTGACTTGAGAAAAGAGTGGAAGACCTCAGTGAGATCCTTAAGAAAGAGATAAAAAACATAAAAAAGAACCAATCAGAGATGAAGAACTCAATAAATGAATTTGAAATACACTAGATGGAATGAATAGTAGATTAGAGGAAGCAGAAGACTGGATCAGTGGTCTGGAAAACAGTAATGAAAAGCAGTCATGCTGAGCAGGAGATTAAAAATAATAATAAATGAAAATAGACTTAGGGAACTCAGCAACACTTTTGAGTGTAGTACCATTTGCATTATAGGGATCCCAGAAGGAGAAGAGAAAGGGGAAGGGGGCAGAAAATATATTTGAAGAAATATTAACTGAAAACATCCTGAATTGGGGGAAGGAAACAGAAATCCAGATCCAGAAGTCATGGAGAGCCCCCAACAAAATCAACCCAAGGAGGTCCACACCTAGACACATAGCAATTAAAATGGCAAAAGTGGTAATAAAGAGAGGATTTTAAAGGCAGCAAGAGAAAAGAAAACAGTTACATACAAGGGAAACCTCATAAGGCTATCAGTGGATTTTACAGCAAAAACATTTCAAGACAGAAGGGAGTGCCATGATATATTCAAAGCACTAAAAGAAAAAAATCTCAGCCAAGAATGCTCTATCCATCAAAGCTACCATTCAGAAGAGAAGGAAAGATAGTTTCCCAGACAAACAAAAGTTAAAGGAATTAATGACCACTAAGCCAGCCCTACAAGAAATGTTAAAGGGGATGTTTTGAGTGGAAAAGAAAGACCATAGCAGGAGTAAGAAAATTAGGAAGCACAAAAGCAGTAATATAAGGTACATCTATAAAATCAGTCAAGAGACTCTGTAAAGTATGACACCAGATACTTAAAATATGGTGGGGAGAGGAGTAAAGAATGAGTTCAAACTTAAGCAACCATCAACTTACTATAGACTGCTATATGCATAACATGTCATATATAAACTCAATAGCAACCACATATCAAAAAAAACTGGAAATATATATGCAAAAAATAGTGAAGAATCCAAGTATATCACTAAAGGAAGCCAGCAAACCATGAGAAGAGAGCAAGAGAAGAAAGAAACAGAGAACTACAAAAACAACCACAAAACAAGTAACAAAATGGCAAGAAGCACATCTCTATCAGTAATTACTTTGAATATAAATGTACTAAACACTCCAATCAAAAGACATAGGGTGATGGAATGGATTAAAAAAAAAAAAAGTAAGACCCATGTATATCCTCCTTATTTCAAACCTAAAGACACCTACAGATTGAAAGTGAGGGGATAGAGAAACATCTATCATGCAAATGGAAGTAAAAGGAAAGCCAGAGTAGCAATCCTTGTATCAGACAAAATAAACTTTAAAACAAAGACTGTAACAAGAGACAAAGAAGGATACTATATAATTATATAAGGAACAATCCAACAAGAAGTTATAACAACTGTAAATATTTATGCACCCAACATGGGAGCACCCAAATATGTAAAACAGTATATAACAAACATAAAGGAAGTAATTGATAGTAAAACAGTAATAGTAGGGGACTTTAACAGCCCGCTTACTTCAATGGATAGATTATCCAAACAGAAAATCAACAAGGAAACAATGGTTTGAATGGCACATTGGACCCTATGGATCTAGCAGATATATTCAGAACACTCCATCCTAAAACAACAGAATACACATTCTTTTCAAGTGCACATGAAACATTCTCCAGAATAGATCACATATTAGGCCACAAAACAAGTCTCAACAAATTCAAAAAGATTGAAGTCATACCATGCATCTTTTCTGACCACAATGCCATGAAACAAGGAATCAACCACAAGAAAAAATCTGGAAAGAACACAAATACATGGAGGTTAAGTAACATGCTACTAAACAATGAATGGGTCAACTAAGAAATCAAAGAGGAAATAAAAAAATACATGGAGACAAGTGAAAATGAAAACACGACAGTCCAAAATATTTGGGGATGCAGCAAAAGCTATGCTAAGAGGGAAGTTAATAGCAATATACTCCTACCTCAAGAAGCAAAAAAAATCTCAAATAAACAACCTAACCTTATACCTAATGGAGCTAGAAAAAGAAAAACTAAGATAACCCAAAACCAGCAGAAGGAAGAAAATAATAAAGATTAGAGCAGAAATAAACAAAGTAGAAACTAAAAATACAATAGAACAGATCAATGAAAACAGGAGCTGGATCCTTGAAAGGATCAACAAAATTGTTAAACTTTTAGCCAGACTCATTGAGAGACAGAGAGAGAGAGAGAACTCAAATAAGTAAAATCAGAAATGAAAGAAGAGAAATAACAACCAACACCACAGAAACGCAAAGGATAGTAAGAGAATATTATGAAAAGCTATACACCAACAAATTGGATAAACTAGAAAAAAAATGGATAAATTCCTAGAAACATATAACTTCCCAAAACTGAATCAGGAAGAAATAGAAAATTTGAACAGACTGATTACTAGCAATGAAATTGAATCAGTAATCAAAAAACTCCCAACAAACAAAAGTCCAGGATCAGATGTTTTCACAGGTGAATCCTACCAAACATTTAAAGAGTTAATATCTAGTCTTCTCAAACTATTCCAAAAAATAGAAGAGGAAGGAAAGCCTCCAAATTCATTCTATAAGGCCATCATTACCCTGATACCAAAACCACATAA